TGTTAAGCTGCTGCTGGGTGCCAGCCCTGTGAGAGGTGCTGGGCATGCAGAGATAGAAAAGGCAGGCCCAGTGCCAATCTCCATGTAGCTTGGCGTCTAATGAAGAATACATACAAGTAATAAAAAGGGAATTATAATTCACTGTGATAAGGGCTATGATTGGGAAGCTTTTATACTAGCTAGAAACTGTGTTCTTTTTCTAGCATAATAACCAGAACAAAAATTTTAATGCCTTTTAACAGTAATAATAAAGTTATAATGTCAAAAATGACTACCATGTTTGTTGAAAAAAAATCTAGAAATTTAAAGGAAAGACATAAAAGAAGGTTTTATATATATCCTGGCCGGAATGGCTCAGTGGTTGAGTGTTGATCTATGAACTAGGAGGTCATGGTTCGATTCCTGGTCAGGACACATGCCCAGGTTGCGGGCTCAATCCCCAGTGTGGGGCGTGCAGGAGGTAGCTGATCAATGATTCTCTCTCATCATTGATGTTTCTATCTCTCCCTCCCTCTCCCTTTCTCTCTGAAATCAATTAAAATATATTTAAATATGTATATGGTGAATCAGGTAGGTAAAAAGACATACTGCAAAGCTATAATAATAAAATAATATGGTACTGGTCTAGCCATAGGCAAATAGATAATAGAACTAAATAGCTCAGAAGTAGACAAAGTGTATAGGAATTTGAAATTAATAAAGATGGCACTATACAACAATGAGGAAGAACGGATTTTTAAAGATAGATTGGGAGAAAAATAGTTTTCAGCATGAAGAAAAATAAAACAGAATTGCTACCTTACATGTTAAACCAACAGGAATTCCCCATGGATTCAAGTATACATGTGAAAGATAAAACTAGGAAGCTAATGAAAAGAAAATGTTGGGAAATATCCTGGTGAAATAGTTGTAAGAAAAAGCTAAAACTCACATACCAAAAGGTAAAAACTGTGATGGAATTGAGTATATCAAAATTAAGAATGTCTGCTACATGAAGGACAGATCACAAGTTTGAAAATATATTTGCAATATTTAAAGTTGCCAAGGAACAAACATAGAGAAGTCCTGAAGGCAATAAACTAATACAGGAATTCCAAAGAAAATGAGCAAATGTTCTCAATAGGCAGTTCACATAAGGGTAAATGCTAGTTGCTAACAAGTATTTACAGAGATGATGCATTAGTAATTAGAGAGATGCAGATTAAATGGGATGAGGTAGAACTTTAGCCTGATAAGGATGGCAAAAAATTAGAAAGTTGGATAATATCAAATGTTAATGAGTATGTGGGAAGATGGGAACTACATAGTCCATTGTTGCTGGGAGTGTAAATGGTACAACTATTCTAGGAAACAATATTAAAGTAAAGTCAATTCTCATTATTTGTGGTAGTTACATTTTATAAAGTATCAGTGAACACTGAATTAGAGAATACTGAATCATTCTTCTAGGAAAAATACAGGGTTATTTTCTTGTGAGCCTCTGGTCACAACATCTTCATCAGCTGGTCAAATACATACCCTTGTTTCATGTGTGTTTCTATTTAAAAGCACCTTAGTTAATACATTGTTGATTCATTAACATTGAACTCGGCCAATAGCACTGTAACTCATGCCTGAATGAAGCTTATCTAACACGTGTATTCTCTCTAGAAGGCACATCACACACTGTTTGTGCTTAGGAACACTAGGCAGCACTTCAGCACTATGCTTGGGTACCATTTTAAATAGCAAAATTACTGCCCCCCTTCCAGCACAAAAAAATGCAAAACAAAAACAAAAAACCACAGTCCTAAATAGACTATGAAAAGGACACTTGTATGCAGAGGAAGCTGAAATAGAAAGCAGAGTGTTGCCTTGTTAGACCTCAACGGGGAGCATGTATGTGGGTGGCTCAGATATTTTGCTGCTCTGGGCATGTCCGGTAGTGACCCTGAAAGTGCCATGAGTATTGGTTTTGGGTTTGGTGAGTAAGCAAATTTGCAAATACAGAATCTGCAAATAATGAGGAGAGACTATGTTTGGCTCAAGTTTATGCATAACCGATGACTAACCCGACTCCTTGTCCTATGTTCCAGGGAGAATCCTCCAGGGGTCCACGAAAGGACATACACAAGGACACTTATGAAGACATTGTAGTAGCAAAGAGTTGGAGCTGGTTTCAGTGTCCCCCACTAGGAGAAGAAAGTAAGATGTGATGAAGTCATACTATGGAATATTATACATCAATTGGTACCAATGAAACTAGATGTATAAACAGCAACATAGGCAGATCTAAAACTTGGAACTGAATGCAAATCTAAGAAATAAACGGAGATGTGTAACATCACATATAAATTAAAAGTGTATATACATAGCACATTACATATTTTACAAAGATATGTTTATATTTATGGTTGTACATCCAACACATCAGAACGGATGCTTAAGTGGGGAAAGGAGAATGGGATGGAAATTGGGGGGATGGAGATAAAGAGGAAGATGAATAAAACAAGCAAGGAGCTTGCACAGGCTAATGGGTATAATGTGCTCAGAGCTCTCGTCTCCTAAGGTCCAGAAATAAAAAAGTGCCACCATGGCGGGGGGAGGGGGAGGATTGTAAACTGCTGAGGGAGAACATGTGAATGGCACCCACCTCGAATTTCAGAGTGAGGTGCCAGGGCAGGCTCCCCTGAGAAGATGATGTTTCAGGAGAAGCCCGAGTAAGATTCCAGCTGACATAGACAAAGAGGAAGAGGGCTTTGGGAAGAGAGAAGAGTGAGTCATTGCTGAGAATGAGGACTTGGTGTGTTTGAGAAACTGAAGGAAGTTCAGAATTTCCATGAGAGAGGCAATGGTGAGATTTGAGGTCAAAGAGGTCGTTTCAGGCCACATGAGCGAGAGCCTTCCAGTTATGTGGAGGGTGGTAAGGTAACCAGATTTGTCTGTCAGAAAACCCATTCTGCCCACTTATGGAATGGAGGGCGGGCCCACAGGTGGAGGGACCAGTGAGGAGACCGTTGTGCTCATTCAGGAGAGAGAAGGTGGTGACATCTGCCCCAGGGTTGATGATGTGGGGATGCAGAGGAGCGGATGCCGTCTCAAGATATTGGGGAGATGAAATTACCTGCTCTCACTCAAATCTTCACAACAGTCTCCTGATACAGATGGGGAAAGGACTCCCCTAAATTCGGCAGGTGTCAAATGCCTTTCCTCCCACCCCACTTTTTAAGGCAAGCTGCCCCCACGACTGTTTGTGTCCGTGTTAAACCATGTGGTTGAACAACATACCTCCCTCTGGCCACAGCTTATGACCCAGGGGTGGGCATCTGACCAGGGGCCTGGGACCTAGGGCCTGGTGAAACGGTGTTTTAAGTATATTTTGATTGTGGCAAAATATACGTCATATAAAATTTACCATTTTTAAATGTAATCTACAGTGACATTAAATCGATGCACAGTGTTGTGCAGCCATCACCGCTGCCTGTTTCCAGAAGCGTTTCATCGTTCCAAATAGAAACTCCATAGACATCAAACAGGGACTCTCCCTTCCCCTCTCCACCCCCAGCTCCTGTAACAATTGTTTTCCTCTCAGTCTTTATGATTTGATTATTCCTCATGCCTCATGTAAGTGGAATCATGTGATGTGTCCTTTTGTGTCTGGCTTATTTCACTTAGCATAATGTCTTCGGGTTTTATCCATGTTGTGGCATGTATCAGAATTTTATTATTTTTTAAGCCTGAATTATATTCTATTGTATGTATATACCACATTTTGTTTATTTGTTCATCTGTTGATGGATAGTTTGTTATTGTGAATAAAGCCACTATAAACAGAGGTTTACAGATATCTCTTAGGGCCCTGCTTTCAATTCTTTTGAATATATACCCAGAAGAGGAATTGATGGATCATTTGGTATTTCTATATTTATTTTGTTGGTGTTTTTTTTTGAGGAGTCTCTGTATTGTTTTCCACAGTGCCTGCACCATTTTTCCCCCAAAGGTTCCAGTTTCTCCATATCCTCACTAATGCTTATTATTTTCTATTTTTTTATAATAGCCATCCTACTGGGTTCAAAGTGGGTATCTCATTATGGTTTTAATTTACCTGATGGCTGGTGATGTTGAGCATCTTCTCATGTTCTTATTGGACATTTGTATATCTATTTTGTAGGAGTATCCATTCAAGTCTTTTGCCCATTTTTGGAGTTAGGTTGTTTGTTTTTTGTTGTTGAGTTGTAGGAGTTCTTTATATATTCTGGATATTAATACTTTTTCAGATATGTGATTTGCAAGAAAATATATTCCATGTATTTTCTCCCTTTCTGTGTGTTGTCTTCTCACACTCTCTTGGTGGTATCCTTTGGTGCATGAAGTTAAAACTGTTTTTTAAATTTGGAAATACAGAGGGACTTGCCAATTAGTAGATAAAGCTCCAGGTGAAAAACATTATTATTGTTGTCATTGTTATTTCATATCCACTCATGGAAAATGTGACGAGGAGCCACAATAGTGTGTGGGGGTGGAACTAGCCTGGGAATCCATGTTGCTCTGATCCACTCTTCATGTGGTTAATTCATTGCTCCATCTAGAAAGGGAACTGAACATGAAAGGATGTCATGAGGCTCATCCAGGAAACCAAAGCCCTGAACTGAAATGGAAATAGATACCAGAAGAGAGTTGCACAAAGCAGGGCTTTAGTGGTGACGTGAGGGTATTTTGAAGTTGTTTATTGGGTGGTAGTGGAGTAGAGAGAGAAACAATTTCTCTCCAAGCCCTTAGGTTAAATTCAGCAGGTCTTCAAGAGGAAATGAGGCATAGGGGACGGGAACCAGGAGACGGGGCTGGCCACTAAGCCAGAAAGAGGAATTTGTAGGACAGTGTTTTGAAAAAGAGTAGAGGTCCTGGACCCAGGATCCTACTGATAAGGGCAAACTTCTCTACTAAGCTCCCCATTGTCATGGATGGGAAAACTTTGGTGTAGTAGACACCAAAGAACTGTAATGCTTTGGTGCCCACACAGGTTTGGCAAGGGGCACCACTTGCCTAAGCATAAGCTAGAGGAAGGGCCTGCTTTTGAATGACCCCGTGAGGGTCTAGAGGTAAATATCTTGTGTGACTGGTGTTGAAATATTGGTAGTGGCCGTGAATTTTTAGGCAACAGGGATTGAAATGGTAGCACTCAGACTTTAATCCCTGAAGGGGGTTTCTAAGGTGCTGTTCTAACAATAAGGGCAAGACGGATTCGTGTCTAGATGTCAACAATCCTGGGGATGTTTAGAAATACCAGAAGAAAAGATACAAGGAAAAAGACTGAATTTATTGCTGGTCAAATACTTGGAGTCTCTGAGAATCAAAATACTTTGAGTGAATGGAAATGTGACCACAATTGTATTCACAATCTTGTGAAGTTGGGATTCACAGCTTGAAAATTAAACAGAAAACTCCCATCCATTTTGTCTGTGAATTAAGGAAAGAAAATTATTATTTTATTACAGCAGAGAAATACTTAAGACCATATTTTGAGAATTATTGTTCTAACTATCTGGTTGCTTCAATTGTCAACTTTTCCCTCTATTGTTATTGGTGTTTGTGAATAGGTCAAGTTATACCTACGAATCAGGGTTTCCCAGCATTCTTTAGGCCCTTGGGACATGCCATTTTGGTGATGGCTGCTTTGACATCCTTATTCCTCAGTGTGTAGATGAGAGGGTTGAGGACAGGTGTGAGAATAGCAAACACCACATTGCCCATAATGTGGAAGTCCAGGGGCAGGTTAGCTCTATAGGCCACATAGGCTATGGCAATAGAGGAGTAGTATGTGCCAACCACCAGGAGGTGGGAGCTGCAGGTAGAGAAGGCTTTTGAACGTCCTCCTCAGGAGCTGATGCGAAGAATGGAGGCCAGAATATGGGCATAGGAGAGAAACACCAGCAGAAGGGGCAGGAAGGACACCCCCATGGCGATGCAGAAGCCCATGAGGGTCTGGCCCATGGTGTCAGAGCAGGAAGCCTGGACCACAGCCAAGTGGTCACAGAAGCAGTGGTAGACCTGGGCCACAGAACTAAAAGCCATGTGGGATGTCTGCACCACTGCTGGGATGGGCAGAAGGAGGGCCGTGAGCCAGGCACTGGCTGCTAGTGCCTCATTAGTCTATGGGGTCATGAGGACAGGGTAGTGCAGTGGGCGGCAGATAGCCACATAGCGGTCATAGGCCATGACCACCAGGATGAAGGCTTCAGAGCAGGAGAAGCTGTGGAAGAGGTACATCTGCAGGAAGCAGGCAGGGAAGCTGAGGAAGTTGTCCCCGAGCAGAAACAGGGACAGCATCTTGGGGACGGTGGTTGTGGTGAAAAGGATGTCCAAGGCAGAGAGATTGATCAGGAAAAAGTACATGGGCTTGTGGAGGCTGGGCTCTGCCACCACAGCCACCAGGATCAGGGTTTTACCTGCAACAATGAGCAGATAGAAGAGGAGAAAGACAAAGAAGATAGAAAGGAAGAGTGATTTCGGCAGAGAGGGGATGCCTATTAGGTAGAAGATGGTCGAGGAAGCCTCTGATCCATTACAGGCTGTGGTCTGCATGATGGGTTAAGCTGGATGCCCAGAAGGTGGGTAGTGAAAACATGAGAACCAGGTACGTTATCTGAAAACCAGGATAAGCGGTGATTCTGGAATGAGAATTAAATAATGATCACCGTGAGCCCTTACCAGTTTGGCTCAGTGGATAGAGCGTCGGCCTGCAGACTCAAGGGTCCCAGGTTTGATTCTGGTCAAGGGCATGTACCTGGGTTGCGGGCACATACCCAGTAGGGAGTGTGCAAGGAGGCAGCTGGTCGATGTTTCTCTCTCATTGATGTTTCTAACTCTCTATCCCTCCCCCTTCCTCTCTGTAAAAAATCAATAAAATATATTTAAAAAAACAATAATAATGATCACTGTGTAGTTAATATAACCATATTTATTTACAGTGACTTTAAAAGAAACATGATGGGCCCTCTCTTCATCCTATCCCAGAATTCCCTGTTTTCTTTTTGAACCAAGTATGGAAAAAGCACCTATGATATACAAAACCATGTGTTATATGCTGGAACATATAACACATGGCTTTGTAGTAGACACATTGAACAAGACAGAGGTCTCCAACCTCATGGAGCTGAAATTCTAGCGGCAGAGAAAGAAACATTAAGCAATAAACCACACAATTATTTAACTGCAATTGTGTTAAGTGTTATGGAAGAACTTCCACTGGTCCTCTTTCCACATCCCATCTGATCATTTGGGGATATCAGATCTCTTAAACCAGGCCTCTACACTTCTTTATCTTTTGGCATTTACTTTAAGTTTTAAAAAAGGTGACATCTTTGTCACCACGTTGCTAGGGAGGGCTGATTTCTCCAAGGTTTACAGCAACATGTCTTTCCACCATAGTTATTAACCAGGGAATGGCTCCTTTCTCTCTCGTTTGCTTGTTGCTATGGTTCTGCTTGTCTCCGTCTAAGTTGAGTACTCTGTATCTTGTCTCTGGGTGTGGGGCCTTTGTCATGTTACAGTGAGGGGAATGACAATGAACATGCTCTCGGTGGGAAGAGTCATTTCTGATTAGAGTCTGAACTCATAATGGGTTCTCCCGCAGTTGGGTAGCAACAGAGAATCCAAGACAATGTCTGTGTTGCTCCATTGAATTCACCTCCCTACTGGCTGCTGCAGCCCAGCAGGTGCTCCTGTTTAACCATTGAGTGCCCACTGCCCAGCAGGCTTCCCAAGTCCCTGGTCAGAAGTTGTCATGTGACCTGGGAAGGCTTGGGAGGCCTGGGAAGGCTTGGGAGGCATGGCTGATAGGAACTGAAGATCTGTTTGCAGTAGCTGCTCAAAGCCAAAGAACTCTTCCCAGAGGAATCAGAAGGGAGTGTTTTCAACCCACAGACCTGGGGGACCTGAGCTAAAGGAAGCGCTGATCTACCCCCCTCCACTTTAGACTTGTCCCTCAGACTAAGCAACTACCCCACGCCTACCCCCGGCAAGTTCATGTTGACAGTGGTATGGCTGCCTCTTTGATCCTGGTGATTCCGTGAGCAGTGTCCCTGTGATTTTCCTGGAGTCACCTCTAATTTCTTTCTCTTCTCACAACACCTCTTATGCATAAAACCACCAATGTAAAAACTGGAAAAATCTTTTTTTAATTTTTTTATTTTCAAGGCCAACCAATTTCCCCTGAAGGGCAGGGACTGAGCAGCATTGGTTGCAGAGTCACCACCAGAACTCAGGTCTCTGATTCTTAGGACAGGACTCTTTCTTCTATGCCATTTCCCCCCACCCCCCACCCCCCGCCCTGGAGAATCCAGAAGTTCAAGTTTACAGGGGAGAAAACATTAGGACCAAGGTTTTCTATTTCCCTTTCTGTTTTTTCCCCCCATGGATAACATGAGACAAATCTCTATTTCAGAATTTTATCTGAGTCTGCATATGGTAAGTACTAAGTTGAGAATCGGTACCTGACAATGCAAATCCTTGTTTGAAATAATGATCCAGAAGTCGGCCCCCCGCCTCCAGACCTAGCAAAAGAGTGAAGCTGTTTTGTCCCAAATTGAAAGGGTTATCCCTTAGTTAACCAAACCCCATCCAACAAGTTCATGACCAGGTTTTACTCACACCTGAAGGGGTACAAACTGCCCTGCCCTGGGCAATTCTGTTCTCAGAGAGGCAGTCATGCTGACCGGTCCAGGTGAGGCAGAGTAGGGGATCTGAGGGGCAGAAACAAAGAGGGCTAAAGCCAGAGGAGTCCTAAGGGGCCATCTAGTCCAGCTCTGCCCCTCTCCCACCTCCTCTGTCCCACTGCTTTATAGATGGAGCTAGGGGTGCTGAGACCCTGGTGGACAGGTGGCACATGCTACTCACTGCCGGGTGGGGCTGGACTATCCAGCAGGGAGAGCAGACATGTGCTGGGTCATCACAAGGCAGGGGCACCAAAAATACTTCCCGAAAGAATTTCACATCTGATATTTCAAAGCACCGTTCTTGTTTTATTTGAAATTACATACTGCACCTGAGTGATGCAGCCCGTGCTTAGGGCCGAAAAGATGCTGTTTCTCAGGGCACAGAACTTGCCCCCACAGGTTCTCCCCGTCAGGATAGTCTGTGAGCCAGTTACGGTGCTGGTGGGGACAGAGAAGGACCGAACAACCCATCACCCGAGTGTGCACGTTACATACTTTATGTACATCATCACCTCTCATCCAGCCCTGCCAGGGTGTGGTCATACCCCTTCAACAAACGAGAAACTGGGGATCAGAAAAGGACAGGCAATTGTCCAAGGCCATGGCCGGTGAGAGGTTGTTCTGTAGCCGACCTGCTGTAAGAGACTGAGCCCCGCCTGTCAGCTGTGAGTCCTGGCTCCTGAGCCAGTTCTGCCGCTCACTGCTGTGACTTGGGGGCCCTGAGCCTCTGTGTTCTCATTGGTTCACTGAGGAGCTTAGAGGAAAAGTCCCCCTAGTGAGCATCTGCTGCCAGTGGGCTCTTTACATTCGTTATGTCACGTGGACCTCAGTGCTTAAGTGTGTGGATTTGTGAGTCAGAAAGGACTGAACTGCAATCCCAGTTCCTGCCTTCAGCTGTGTGACCTTGGGCAAGCCATTCCCCTCTCAGCCCCCTTCCCTCATTGTGACCGCCTGGGGTTGTTGTGAGTCTTTACAGAGAGAGTTCTGGACAGAGCTTACACCAGAACCTGGAACATGTAAGAGTGCAAAGTTTGCTAGTGTTTCCAATGGTTACTACTGTCATCAGTCTTGCTTTTCTGTGGGAAGCTGTTGGCCAAGGTGATTTGAATCCCACCTGTGAGCACCCTCTCTCACCCAGACCTCCCAGAATATGTGGTCTAAGATCTCACAGCCCATGTATGCACAGCCATCCTGGATCCTAGTTGCCTGCCTTTTGTGCCCACCCAATAAGTCTTCTTGATCCCTGGTTTATAAGCTCTGGCTTCCCTGCCCCTGCCTCCCCACCCCAGTTTTCTCTGCCTACCTCTGGGCACTCCATCCCTAGCTCTTCTCACCTGTTAAGCCTGGTCCATACTGGTGTTTCCTGTGGTGTCTCTGTGCAAGGCCTTGTTGAAGGCTGAGACATAGCCCATTCAACCCTCAGCCCCTCCTTTCAAAGAGGCCTCCTGGGGTACTTCCCTTAAGATGGTGCTCCTATGGGGCACTGCACCCACCATTCCTCAGGGATGGACTCCCTCACATCTCCTAACAAGAGGGGGCAAGGATGTCCCTAGGCTTTGCCGATAATGAGGAGAACATCTTTAACAGCCCTCAATGGCCCAGCACTTTACTCCAATGGTGTAACCTTCATTCTCATTATGAGTCTGACTGATCTCCATGGGACAATCATCTTGTCTACCTGACTTTGCCTACTCTTGATGATGTTGGAGAGCTTTTTCTACCATGGATACCCTTTGGTAAATAGTTACATGGGACTCAAGTATCTTTACAATTTGTGCCCCTTCTGAGAGATCTAATACCTTAACTCTTCTCCAGATTCCCTCTTTATGAATCCTCTCATCTTGTTCTTTCCAAATCCCTTCATGTTCCAGCCAAACCATTAGCCATTGCCCATAAATTTGTATAGATCCTTACTCTTTCCATTGCATCTTCTAAACCTACCAGGAAAAAAGCCAGATGCACTGCCCAAGATTCTGCTCACTGACAGGATTTACCTTCTAGTTGATCGTTCAGGCCCTTCTGAATGGGGCCGTTATGTAGCAGCAGCAGTCCACTTTTGGGTGGACTCAGCATATTTTGAAAAACTGTTTGTAAATCAGACCTGAATTTTTTTCTTCTTGAGGGAGTTGGTTATAGGACATTTTCTATGAGGATGTATGTTAGAGTTGATGGAAAGGTGTCAATGTAGCAAGATTGTGTGCCATGGGAGTCTAAGACAACTGCTCATGCAATTTACTTATGCCTTTGAGATCTGCTTGACCTAATATAACATTTATTATTTGCAATTGATGATGGGATATTTCTGTACATATCCAATTTTATATTTTGTTTGTTCAAATTCATATCCAATACATAAGGGACAGCTTAGGGTCCTCTAGTCATTAAGTGTTCCCTGGTCAGGCATTCAGTCTGCACCAGGAACTATTTTTCAAAAGGAGAATAGTTGTCTACAGAAAAAAGTATGGGTTCACTCTAAAATTCTAGGTCGAGTGCTGTGATTCTCCTATTACTAGCACATGTCACCTCAAAAATTCAAAGAGGACTTTAAAGTTTTGGCTATGACAGAATAGCTTGTTTTAACTAGCCTTCCTGGTGAAAACAACTAGAAAAGCTGGACAAGACATAAAACAATTGTTGGAAGGCTTCAGAGAACAACCAAGGGCAGGTCTTGAAGAATTGCAGTCCTTGAAAGAAGGAAGGCTCATGAGGTGAGTTCCACAGGACTCCAGCTTTTTACCTGAGGGCATTTCCCAATGTGCAGGACTGGAGAATAGAGCTGAGTTAGAAAAGGGAAGTCTCCCTTGGCTGAGGAGATATGGAGTTGGAATTTGGGGAAGCAAAGTGACTGACGCATGAGGGGCAAAATCCTGGAGAGCAGGGTACTTACAGAGAGAAAGAATATCACCATCTGTATGCAAATTCCCTTCAAGTCCTTGACCAACTCCTAAGGTGCATGTGTGGGGAAAGACCTGGAGAAACTAGGAGACTATAGCAGCTGGAGGCTACAGAGCTGCAGAA